GTGCGGCAGGACGGGTCGCGGGCGCCCTGGGTCGCGGCGCTCACCCGCTCTGCCCTGGCTCCCCTAGGAGTGTGGTGCTTCAGTGAGCTGTTCTTCGTGAAGGAGCCTCACGACGTGACCGTCTCGAGGAAGGACTCGGTGGTTTTAGACTGCCAGGCCCGCGGCGAAGCTCCGATCACTCTTACGTGGCTGAAAAACGGAGGCAAAGTGTCTGAAAATGAACGGATCTACACCTTATCCAACGGCTCTTTGTACATCAGCGAGGTGGAAGGAAGGAGAGGAGAGGCGTCCGATGAAGGATTTTACCAGTGCTTAGCGCTGAACAAGTACGGGGCCATCCTCAGCCAGAAAAGTCACCTTACGCTAGCGAGTAAGTCCCAGCCCCCAAACCCCGGGGCAGCGATTCCCCGACCGGCACACGGCAATCTGTTGTTTTGGTTGCCTACCCGAAAAGGCAGATTACAAAAGCGAAGAGAAAGTCAGTTCTGCCCCACGCGCGTTTCTTCTTCGGCGTGTTGGGATTGCGAGCGGGACCCGGGGCGGCGGGCTGTGCGACGTCACCCCAGCTCTCAGAAGCGCTGTTCTCGCGGCCTTACCGGGGTCATCTCCACATCTGATTTAAAAAAGAAAAAAAATGTATTTTTTTCCCTCCTTGTTCAGTAGGTTGATGTTGTGCTGATCAGTCCTGGGGGGCTGCTGTCAGCCAGAGCAGTGTGATAGTGGAGTGCTGCCTTTGGGAGGGGGAGAGGGTTTCTGGTCAGCGGAGGATTACATTGCCAAGCTCGCTCTTCTGCCGCAGGCTTTCAGCCACGTGGAGGTGGGTGCTGATGCTGTGGGAACCGCCGTACCCGACCATAAGGGTCTGTTACTGGGTGCCTCTAGGAACTGAGCGTCAAATTTGTAAGGCAGCCTAGGCCCCTACGGCTGGAGGAACGATGAGTAAAATAGTTGCACGTAGTACCTTTGAGGTTTAGCGGTCTGACCCGGAGCATGGCTTGCCCGCAGTCTTCCCGGCATCCTTTAACGTGGGAAGGAAGGATGCGTGTCGGAGCTGAACGCCTGCCCTTGCCGTGGTGGTGCCACGGGCCTTGCCCGTGGGCTGGCTGTGCGGCACTCTTCCTTTTTACGTAAACTGTGTCATTTCAAAGGAGGACTGACTGCAACACGGAGCGTACACGGCTTACGTAGTCCTCCGGCGTTCCCTCTCTAACAGGACTTAACTTAATCTGACAGGAAAAGGCTTCCTTTAACCTCTTCAGCCTTGTTCTTAGTGGCAAAGTGCACTAAACTGTGGCACCTCTATGGAGACTTGGCAGGAGCTGTAAATTAGAGGTTTTACCAAAATCAGCCTGAAACTGGTTAGCACAGTTGGCACGTTTGCTCTCACTGAAAACGTCTGAATGTTAGTACTTTCCGTATGTGTCTGAACAGATTATAATAACGGCCCATAAAGTATCACGGGAAGGTGTGGAATACCTTGTTCAGTGAGCCAGAGCTCTGGGCAGTCAAAGACCAGTTTGCAAGTCGGGGGCTCTGAATAAGGGACGAGCTCTCACATGCTGCAAGAGGCTGCTGTCTGAATTCTCCGTTTCTAAAAACTGGCCAAAAACTTTGCACCGTGGCATCTTATTCAGATACAGGATGGATAAACCAGACAGTTCCTGGATATTTGTGATTAAAAGCTAAGAAACAGTGTATTAATAACACTGACACTCAAAAATTGTTGTCATTAGGTTTCGGAGTGTCAGTGCTGTTAACAAACAAACTGACAGAAGCCTTTCTTAGGAGGATAGGAATCTCGATTTTTAAAATGTAAAGCAAAGCAGTGGAGGATGGATTCTGCGTGTAAAAGTCTTGGAGCAGAGAAAACTCCGGGACAAGTGATGCTTGAGGCATTGCAGGACGAGTTCTGTGTTCTAGAGATCGGAGAACTTCTGGAACAGTACAGAGCACCGGAGCAATACAGCACAGTGAGAAACTTGTGCCATCTCTTTTTATTCAGACACTACCGAACTTTTCTAACTTGTTTGTTTCTCACATCAAGCTTATTTCACCAGAAAGCTGGTGGTGTTTTGTTTTGGGCTTTGTTTTTTTGGGGGCAGGGAGGTAAATGATAGTGAAAGAGTTTGGCAAAGGGAGAGCTGTGACCATTAGATTGCATGTTGTGGAATGACATTCTTGTTTTGCAGCCTCTGGGGTTTTTTTTCCCTGCAAGACTGTGACAAAAGGCTTCTTTTTTTGTTTTCCCTTTGAATACTTAAAAGGCTTCCTATTTCTGTTGGAGAAAACTGGAAGAGATAGTGGATCTATAATGATCACAGTAGGTGTTGCTGACTTAGAGATTAAGTGGTTAAATAGTGACCAAACGTGAAGTTAGCCGGTGTGGCAGCCTCTTCCTTTTGGTCATGTTCCAGTCTGATCAGGCTCAGAATGTCCTACTTTTCTGTAAAACTGTGAAACAAGGCAGTGATTGGTATAGTTATATTCTGAAGCCCGCAAAACCAGCTTTGCAAAATTGGTTTTGTATTCCATTTGTGTTTTCTACAGTTGTTCTCCCTGCTATCGTGACGTGATTGAACTTTGCAGACATTTTAAATGAATGAAATTAAAGTCTTGTGGGGATTTTGCTAGGCTTGTGATTTTGTTTAGAAGCTGTTGTCCGTTGCTGGAGAGGCAAATTACCTTGCGGCCAGGGCATAGAAGGAACTATACATATTAAACAGGTGGAGAATAGGCATTAAATGGGCATTCTTTCTTTGGAGAAAAAAAGCAAATGCTCTCTTCAGTCTCTGGTAGCAGCAGGGTGCGAGGATGTGCTTTTACTTTGCCTGGTCAGAGCTTTTGCCAGTAAGCTTATCTTTTGCTGTGGAACTGTAATGTTTAGTGTTGCATTTGGAAACCAAAAACTTTAATCTGTCGAGGAGTTTAAGATTTGAGCACACAAGGAGATCAGGTCTTGGTTTCTAAAGTTAGGAACTGGAAGCTGAAGGTTGCACTCTTGGCAAGAATTCCATTATTCATGTGCAAATTAAGAATTCACAGGGTTAAAAGGTTAGAAACTGGCCAGGATGAGGTTTACCCTTGTGATAAAGAGCAGATGACCCTCATTCATTGGCCAAAGCTTTTATGTAGCTCCTCTGCAAAGTTAGTGATTGCCATGAATTGTTCTTGAGGAATGCAGAAATTCAAATGTGAGCAGGCCTTTCCTTAAGTGTCACTATGGAGCCTTATCTCACGAGCACATCAGAGTAGGTCTGCAGGGACAGGGTTCCTCCCCAGAGGCCCCAAGGCTTTGCTTTCCTGTTGTTCATCCATGCACAAAAGAATTTGACTAATTTAGGGCTTTTTTCCCCCCTGTAAGTTCCCCCTACTTTTTTAAAGGAAACTGTGGAGCTGAGGTATTACTTAGGTAAAAATAAATATTAGTTTCAGTGCGCGCTTGTAGTTGCTTCCAAAGCTGGCTAATTGACCTAGGGGGGAGAGGAGGAGGTTCCTGTGTGATCCTTTGTAAGGCACCATGTGGGGGTAAAGCGCTACTAGTGAAGAGAAAATGACTTATTCAAAATTCAACTCATTGCTGCCGCTGCGACTGAGAGAGGTCTCTTTGACCAGAATATAAAAAGAATGTGGAGTATGGAGAAAGCCCGAGCACTTTTGGTACAGCTTTGAGCTCGTCAAAAACGAATACTCTGACGCTTTTGTACTTCTGCATTTTTGAACTGGGAATGAAAGTTTAGGCATAGAGGACTAAGATTCTGCCTGAAAATAAAGCTGGACTTCCAATAAACTAGTATTAAGAACAAATGGGAAAGGGGGATGATGTTCTGAAGTGAGTAACACTGGCTTTGGGTAGTGAGTGGACAGGATGCTCGCTGTTTATTTCCTTTCCACAAAAAGTGGAAATGGAAGCCTTAAGATGGATGGATGGGACATATACAGCTGGTAGGAACATTCCTAGATAACCCTTTCTCCTCTCCTGGCTCGGCTGAATTGATCTTAATGTTTGGTTTTCAAAGTACAGGAAACATAAGCCCAATCTCTCGCGCGCAGTCTCTGCATTACACAAGAAGAAAAGGTTGTGCAAGCAGAAGGTTTCTTGGGACAAGTTGTTGTTAGCATGTTCCTGGGAGGGAAACTGTCTGCACGCTGCATCGCGGTCCCCGAAACGCAGGGAGTTTTACACGTAGCAGAGGATACTTTGCAGGGGGTTCGCTTACCTGCTGCAGCAGTGATGTGACTGTACCTTCCTCAGGTCCCGTTACAGTGACAATAATGGGTATTTATGTTTTGATACCCTAATAACATCTTCTGCTCTGGTTTGAAATATTTGATTACCTAGGAGTGCATCCAGCTGAGCCTTATGCTGTAATGTGACGATCACTTTTTTTAGCAGCAGACCGTGCTGGCTCCAGCTGTTTGCTCACACTTTGGCGCCGTCCCCTTGCTTGTGTGGGCACAGCTGCC